TCTTATCCCAGTCCTGGAGTTCTTCGGCTCTCCAGAACTTCACCACCCTTTTTTGTATTGCCTCTTATTATTTCACGTACTTATAAATATGTATATATGATTATGATTAGGTGTCTTCCACAAACACACACTTACACGGCATGCTACCAGTCTAAAATATTAGCATTTAGGGTCGCGATACCACCAGACGATGTTGCGTCGGTTACAGCAACTAGTAAAGTTGCCAGCTGCACAGTTGAAAAACGGTGCTACAAATTACATCTAATTGAAGTATAACTCGTGTACTATAAGAGCGACGTAGAAAAGGCAATTAAGATAGTTTTCACCAGTAAAAAGTGTGACTTTCAGGCACAATGTTTCACGTTGCAAAGCGTGTGATATTGTCAAGGATTTGATCACTGGCAAAATTTCATGACTTTCATATGTCTGCATGAAATTGGAAATTATGGTTTTGTTGTAAAAATTAGATATTTTAGTAAATTTCTGTGGTTGTATTTTTCTCTTCCAGTGGTGCCAGCTCTGGAAGATCCAGAAGGTAAAGTGGAACACAAAAGGTGCAAAGGGTGCAGCAGCAGCGTGTAAAGGAAGAATACAACACAGTCGACTGGTCACTTCTCAGAATGTAAAACCCATGAATTTCTCAAGGCAGTACTTCGCATTCTGGTGACAGTGATCTGAACGACTAGCAAGTACAGTAACAGACCAAACTCGGCATATCAATATTCAAAGGATTTAAAACGACGCATATTTGGTCTGAAAAATAATTTTGTATGTTGTCGTTGTAATAGAAATAGAATGGAAAGGTGTATTGAAATAAGGAGAACTGGAGAGAAAATTCCGAAATAAAAATTAAGAAATTAGTAAAATTAGTGAGATTGTTTTAATAAAATTATTATAATGCTGTTATAACTGTTATAATGTTAAATCGTTTTTGAACTTTTTTTTTAAACTTTTTGATGCGTTTTTACTGTGCTATAGCGCTGCTACAGCCAGCAAAAACTCATATTGTCGAGAGGCTGTCTGTGTGTGTGTTCGGAAAGCGAGTACATTTTGTCACCCACTTTCAT